ACCTTCTTGTCCTCCATGTGCCTGGAGACAATGGCCAGTATGAGCTGTTCCATCACTTTTCCGGAGACGGAGGTGAGGCTCACTGGCCTGTAATTGCCTGGGTCCTCCTTCTTGCCTTTTTGGAAGACTGGCGTGACATAGTCTTTCTTCCAGTCCTCCGGCACCTCCTCCGTTCTCCAGGATCCTTCAAAGATGATGGAAAGATGTGCTTAAAACTTTGTAATATTACAGGAAGTATTAAATGTACAGTCAATTCACTAGATCTATAATTACCTCTCCTCTACAGCTGTAAGAAAACTGAATATAAAATCACAGAGAGCGAAATTAGGGAGTGCTTAGAATAACTCCTTCCTTTGTCCAGTGTGTGCTGTTAGCTTGGAGGGACTTTCTCTTGGGATTCTGTTGCAGGTATTTCAAGTGCTCTAGATCAAGTGCAGACCCTGGTTTCATAAAAGCACTCGATAATGAGAGCAGAGGGACTGCCATCTCTGCTGGAGGACCTTTCTTTTGCCATTTCCTTAGACATAGGATGCTGTTCCAGATGGCTATTTTTTTCTTGCATTGTCTTTATTGATAAGATGTTATTGTTCCACAGATCAGATAGCAGGCAAGAGGCAGGTAGCAGTGCAGCTTTGATGTGTAGGCTCTGTCCTTGTGCTGCAAAGGAGCAGCTCTACAACTTGTGTTTGCCGCAAGACCATCATCAGGACACAGGTTATTTCAGAGACCCTCCAAGCAATTACTTGGGATTCAAGTCATACTGTGACTGAACTCTTTTCCGTCACTGAAACACTCAAGTTGTTCCCCACTGAAGCACTTTGTGAAGTTGTGCTGTGATCCTTAAACAAACACTGAGCATCTGTTTTCTTTTGCTCAGGTCAGTGCTCTGGCTGTCATCAAGAGTGTAATACTTGCGAGCAGGCAGTGAAAGCGAGGCTGACTGGCTGCTCATCGTTGAGGCTTTCTGACATGCTCTCCGTTCGCTCTTTCCTGGCCCCATCCCGCAGTGCCCTGGTGCAGCGCCTTGTGCCTGGACTCTCATGTTGGTTTTTGGATCTACTCTATGCTTTACACCCCAGTAGAGAACTGTGGGTTGTTTGAAAGGCTTCAGCAGATAAAGCCGACCGCAGGTGGCCTCAGTGAAGGGAGTCTACAGGCAGCGCAGGTTCATTGCACTTAATGCAAAGGTTAAAAATCCTTGGTTTTGATGACAAAGTTAGGCTGTAGGACAAAGCTCTTGAGAGAGTGAGGCCATCCTACAGCTGACTGTGCTTTCATTAGTATGCAGATTTTAAGTTAAAGAGACCGATTGTTACTTTTGAAGTGTCAAATGTATCCTACACCATAATTAAAGTCACTTTTTGTTTTCTAGGCAAATTCTTTATCGTGGAGGCTGATATCAAAGAGTTCACTCAGCTGAAGGTGGACAAGCGCTTTCACAGCATCCTCAACATCCTGCGCCACTGCCAGCGGCTGAGGGAAATCCGTGGCTCCCAACTTGTCCGCTATGTCATCTGCTAGCAAGAGCCTTGGGCTCTGCTGCACAGATAGGAAGGGCTGAAGACTGAGGTGCAGCATGTTATGTTGTCCCCAGAGAAACTGGGTGGAGGGGAATTTTAATTCTTTTTTTTTTTTTTTCCCCCTAAAAGGAATAGTGCAAAACTTGCTCATCTCAATCTAAATTATTAGAAATATGAAATGGCCTTGAAGTATTTGATTTCCATGCTGAAAACTTGAGAGAAACCGCAATCTTTTGGTAAATCACGAATTCGGAACAGGCAGTTGACACCTGTGGCTACAGGTGGTTTTAATCCCATTTTCAGGCCATTATTGAAAGTCTGCAGGTTAATGTTTCTTTCGTGTTTGAGGTGAGAATGTATTTTAAACTGCTCCTACTCAAAGGAAGCATTTGTGTGGGTTGTCTTTCCCCCTTATGCCTCGAGCCAATTTCCAGATTTCCTTTCCTTAATCTTTTCCTCCTTATCCTGATTGTATGTTTGGAAATTTTCTGCATCTCTTGAACAGGAAGATGTGCAGTAATTTAAACATTTCCAGACTGATGTTTTGGTGGTCATATGACTCCATACTTTGTCATGCAACCAATTTTTGGCTCAGCTCAGTCCTGTACCATCACGATTGAAACAGAACAGTGGATTTTAACTGAAAATATTGAGTTTCACTTCAAAAACACTGATTAAACTTTTAACCGTTTTTATTACAGAAAATTTTGGTTTCAAAGATCTTAGTGTGGAGAATTCTAGAGACAAATGGTTGTGATAAATTTCAGCTCTGCAAGTAGTCAAAACTGCTTTGACATGAAAAGTTGTGGGTTATTCCTTCCTTTGCATGTACCTATTGTCATTACTAACCAGCTCGCCTCAAATACATTGTGGCCAGCAATAACACGAGTGAACAAGAGTCTGAATGAACTATGAGCCTTCTCACTAAAAGAGATTTGAGCAAGTGTTAGATAAACCTGGGTTCCTAAGGGTTATCTTCTTTTTTTAATGTTTTGCTCTGGGATGCCGAGATACAAGTGGTGGTTTCTGCTTATCTGCTTAGAATCATACAATGCTTAAGGTTGGAAAGGACCTCTAGAGGTCATCTAGTCCAACCCCCTGCACACGCAGGGTCACCGGGACCTTGCACTTGGCCTTGTTGAATTGCATGAGGTTTTTCACCGCCCAGTTGTCCAGTCTGTCCAGGTCCCTCTGGATGGCAGCGCAGCCCTCTGGGGTATCAGCTACTCCTCCCAGTTTTGTATCATTAGCAAACTTGCTGAGGGAGCACTCTGTGCCTTCATCCAGGTCATTGAGGAATAAATTGAACAGGACTGGGCCAAGGACTGACCCCTGGGGGACCCCACTAGCTACAGGCCTCCAACTAGACTCTGCACCGCTGATCACCACTCTCTGGGCCCTGCCATCCAGCCAGTTCCTAATCCACCTCACTGTGCACTCATCTATCCCACACTTGAGGAGCTTGCCCAGGAGGATGTTGTGAGGGACGGTGTCAAAAGCCTTGGGGAAGTCGAGATAGACGACATCCACTGCTCTCTTCCTTTACCCAGTTGGTCATTCCATCATAGAAGACTATCAGGTTAGTCAAGCAAGATTTCCCCTTGGTGAACCCATGCTGACTACAATCCATGCATTGTACTGGGATATGTTCCACGTTCAGATAAACACACAGAATAACAGGAAGAAGTGCAAAATCTGAATTTTGGTTTCTGTAGCTGTCGGTTTGGTCCATCTGTTGCTTTCTGGAAAGCTTATTTTACACCAAAGAAAATAGATTTGTATACATGGATCACCAGGTCCGTTCTACTTTATTTTTTCCCAGTTTCATAAGCTGAAGACAATTCCATGGTTGACTTGTACAAAGAATCTCTGGCTTAACCAGCATGTTACTGTGTGAGAAGAAGGTGAGGCCCCTTCAGCAGACTTGAGTTTGAAATCTGAGGCAGGACCTGTGCTAAAATGAGCTGATGAAGAAGCTGCTGACACAGCGGAGCTCAAGGCAAAGGCTTTGTCTGTGCTCTGTTGTCAAAAGCCTCTCAGCTGCCCTTCCCCGCTTTGTCCACTGTTTTTCATCCCAAATCCTTGGATGCGTTTGGCTGTAAAAGAAAAATGGATAACTAAGGGCCTTGTATTCTTTGTGCTCTTTAGACTCTTTCATACTGAACTCAAGGCCTTTTATTTAATGAAAAGAAATCTCTTCACAAAGCAGTCGCACTGGTTTGCCCATTATTTCAAGTTTATATTTCTGGAATTTCCAGAGTGTGCCTCAGACTCTCCTGCATGCTCCTGTCTATTCTTCTCTCTCCTTTCATCACTGGACTCATCTGTCTGGCCTGCACTATATGGAGATCCTGTTGCTTGGGTATCAATAGAGAACATAGCTGGTTATGGAGCTATTTCAACAATTTACAGTATGCTGATGTCTTTTCTTGGGGATTTACTGGATGGTTAAATGCCTTTAGCATAAATACAGCCTACCTGCTGTTTCTAAAATAGGTAAGTCCAGCTCAGACCAGCTGGCAATGTCACTGCGTCACCACAACACAAAGGCCAAGGTCTCCCAGAACTCTTTTTTTCTTTTTTTTAAGTATTCGTTTTGGTCTCAGTAAACTTGCTTGCTACAATTCTTTTTTTTCCCTGCCTGTAATTTCTTTTAATGTTTTGTTGTGGTTATTGCACGGTTTGTGATTAATTAGATGTTGGTTAACAGCTTCCAGTTTGTAACTATGGAGTTTTTAATTTTCTAAACTATTTTCCCTTGGGCACGTTCTCACAGTTGTGCTCCTTATGTGCAGCCCCTCTCCTGACATTGTTTTGCTGTTGCTTTCCCAGGAAGATGGCTTGCCTCGGCTTATAGTAGCTCCTGATGCCCTTGTCCCATCCTTCTTTAAGCAGCTCATGCTGCTTGGGGAACTGCAACAGGTGCTGCTGTCCCCATTTCAGGTTCTCCTGTTGACTCCTCAGTGTTTCTACGATTTTTGGGGCAGTATTCACCCTGGGTCACCTCAGACCATTACAGCCCAGCTCCTGGGGTATTTTGCTGCTTTCTTTGCCTGGTGCCTCCCTCTAGCTTTCACCAGCCAGCAAAGGGTGCTAGCACTGAGTATCAGTGAGTGTTTCTGAGGGTCCTGCCTGGTGGTTTGATGAAATACTCCTCCAAAATTTAGTTAATTTGGAGCTTTTCAATGCTAACGTGTGTTCTTCCAAATGTCAGCTTCTCTAAATACTTACACTTTGTAAAACCTGGAAGTAAAACTGAGGTAGCACCAATCTAATTACCTGATATGTGAGAAAATATCACACATTCTTCCTACAGCCTCAGCTCTGTCCTTTCTCATTGCCTTCAGTGGGAACTGCAGCGGGGAGGAGCAGCAGTCGATGGACACAGAGTTCATGAGCAAATTCACCGCTTTGGCTTCGTATAGGCAAAATGAGGGGCCTAACGTTGGAGAGATGGATCCTGATACAGTGTGTCCAGTGTCTTGGGCAGAGGCAAGAAGAAACCTGCTGCACTTGGCCTTGCCCTGGGCATGAAGCAATTTGAGGTAAATTCACAGTATGAGGAACCTCTGACAGACAAAACCTCTGCTTTCTCCAAGCTGAGAAGGGCTTCCTGCTGTTGCAGTTGTCGAGTGATCCTTTGGGATCTGCGAGCTCCTTGGTGCCAGGATTTGCTATACAAGGTAGCCATTGCGGTCTGAACCACAGGATGCATTGATTTAAAAGCCAAAGGGATTTAAATAATAAAGCAGGAAACTTTGTTTCAAATAATCTATTTTTAACCCAATTTTGCATTTATAGGTGTTTTTTCCCCTTGAGCACTGATTCTTAATGGATGAGACCCATTAAGACATGTTGCCTGTAGATAAAAATGAGAAATACGTCATATTGGGAGGGTTTTTTTTGTGCAGTAACCAGGCAAATATGTATTAAAGCAGCGGCAAAGCTTAATAGCTTAATATCCTTTTAATTAGGCTTACCCAAAGTTCAAAAACTAAACAATGCTTTTTCATTTCATGTTTTTTAAAAAAAAAAAAAAAAAACGAAAACTTGTAACCTGTTTTAAACGGCCTTTTTCTAGTAATTGGGATGCAATTAAAATGTAGGTAGTCATGTTTAAATATGCTTTTATTATTATTATTATTTATTTACTTAAAGTTGTTTTATGTAGAAGCAGAAGCACCAGACAGAAACATGGATCAAGTTGGTTGCTACGTGGCCTACACTTACACTTGTTTTACTTAAACCTAAATTATTTTGTAAACTCGAGCTGTTTGGACTCTCCTGGTAGTACCTTACAGCCAGGTTGTGGTCAGAAAAAGTCTTGGATTGACCCACTCTGAATTTTTGCTTCTTTTCGTGACTCACAGGAGGAATTTGCCCTGGCCAGCCTCAATTTCCCACCACTGGTGCATAGCCTTTCATGCTGTGAGCTGAGCAACAGCATTTCGATTGCAAGCCAATATTTCATGGCTGCTACAGAGAAACCTAAATAATTAAATTTCGTCGTGGCCCAGGTGGGCTGGGAGCAAGCAGAGCTCCTGCCCGCGCCTGAGCTCTGCTGCCTCGAGATGCACTGGCAGAATGGTTGCGAGCAGGGCACTCCTCCCGAGAGGGAGCCACAGGGCCGAGTGTTAATAATTCAGCCCGGGCTCGGCAAACCGCGTCAGCCGTTGGGAAATGCATCAAAGACTCTTTTCCACAAAGCCTTTCCACAAAGCCATTCAGATGCTTGATGCTCTTGATGCCTCATTACGGGGGAGGCAACTATGGGTAAACATGACTCCTACAGCCAGTTGTGTCAGAGTTGTTTAAAGTATTTAAATATTTGGTTAAATAATCGATTTTCCTCCAAAACCAGCTGGCCTGCTTTATTTTCTGGCTGCTGCTCATCTGCATGGCGCTGTCATGTCGGGTTTCAGTGTTTGCCGCAGGGTTTCTGAAGGCGGAGGGAGCATTTTCAGCTCAGGGAGCTGCTGGGAGAGGTCAGAAAAGCTTGCC